TAGGGACAGATACTGACTTATTTTTACAACAAGTTAATGTACAAAACTAATTTAATAAACTACTTGCATGGGCGAATGAGATAAAAGATGACGCGACAGTATGTCCGTTTGGATTGAGGAGCCATTTCAGATTTTAAATGGAAACTCCCCCCTTAATTAGTAGGTGAACCAATAATTTTTTAGGACAATTTGTAGTAATGTGCGTGTGCGTTTTGTATCGAAAATAGTAATCATTCACTACGTCTGCAATAACTATTTGTCAATGTTGAGGTACTGACTCTTGTGTGGTGTATAGTATATATATATATATATAGTATACGCGACAGTACCTTAACATAATGAGTATTAAAAAATAACGACATCAAAAGTGAGCCTCGTACACTGAATGTTCACACGCAAGTCTATCATCAATAATCATCATCATCTTAATCGAACCAACCAATCAGGCTTAAGATATCTCCTGTTAAATTTAATAACCAAAAAGTAAACGAAAAATAATACATCTTAAATACAATGTATCAAAAGTTAGGAGGAAACGAAGCCACTCTCAGGAGACGATCGGAAGATCGCGTTCAGCTTAAAATCTAAATTAAACTATATGTCTATAACAAAGAAAAAAAAAATGGCCCAGAAAACAGTACGCTACATAGTTTTTTTTTGTGATCGCCATACCTTAATTATGTAGTACATTTTACAACAAATATTGTAATTCGCTGTATCACGCATAGATCTGTTTAGCACTAAATTCATACAAGTCAAACGACTATATTTAACGAGAAATGTACTGTGCCGTGCCTTGTTAGATTTTGATCATTTAATAGTTCTTCCCTAAATACTAATTAGAAAGACACAGCTTGTACACCAGTAACTATGTCTTTAGTTGAGTGTCTCATCTATTTAATGTCCTAGTACCTATGTAGGTATTACTATATACACGGTAAATATCTCAGACAATAGGCAATAGAATCCAAATGGATAATTAATAGACAATACAAATATTTTTCTGTAAAAACGGAGGAGTGAGTGAAACCACTAGTATCATATCATTTTCTTAAAAGTCTAAAAATAAATCATAAGCGTCGATCAGCAGGTCCGTCGGTTTGCAATTTTATTGTTAAATTTAAAAAATCATTGAGTCATAGTTCTGTTAAATTCTGACACGTTAATGTCATCATGTGTCTAATTCTTTGACCTTGAATTCCCTAAGCTAAATCAAACAAAGCGCAATAAACATGAATTTGATGACATAATCGATATTTTCATGGACAAGTTACATTGTTCTCGTACTTATATTAATAATATTTTTGACTGTTTACTAGTAATTCGTATGCAAATCAATGAAAGAACTGCATATAAAAGAAATATATTAGTTTTGTTTGCTGTTTAATTTTAATGTTCATTAAAGTTTGCCATGTACTTAGTCACTTTTATTGGTTCTGTAATATTCAGTGTTATTTAACGATTACATTATCGTGATATTCACGAACTCTTAAAAGGAAACCCTTTCTGAAAAAATTTTAGCTTGAAGCTTCCTTAGCATGAACGGTACAGGGCGGATATCTTCCGTTATGGAGGATTGGTTCGAGAGGCGTCACGGGACCCTCTCATACCGACTGACGCAGGTGATCACTGGGAAAGGATGTTTCGGGGATCACCTGTGTCTGATCCGCAAGGAGCCAACGCCTGAGTGCCACCACTGCGATGGCCAGACCGTGGACACGGCTCTCCACACGCTGGCAGAGTGCCCGGCGTGGGTTGAGCAGAGGTGAGGCCTCGTGGCGGCCATCGGAGTGGGAGTTCTCTCGCTCGATAGCCTGATTGCGACTATCGTGCGGAGCGAGAGTGCGTGGAACTCTGCCGTCTCCTTCTGCGAGCAAGTTATGCTCGCGAAGGAGACGGCGGAGCGGGATCGGGAGAGGTTTAGGACTCTCCCGGCCCGCCAGGCCCGGGAACGGGCCAGGTACCGCAGGCGACTCAGGCGCCGGAGGTCGCAGAACGACCTCCGTCCTCCATAAGCGCAGGCCTGGGGGTGACAGGTGAGGCCATCTGTCACTCTAGCAGAAGCAGGCCGGGCGGCGGCGAGCGTGTTGCGAAGCGCGCTCGCTTCCAGGGAGCAGAGGGAACATGGGGTTCCCACACGGGGGGGGTCGTCTACCTGTTGTTGTAGATGGCCCGAGGTATGTCGGGGCACCTGGGACTTCCTTTCTAGGGTATACCTGGTTCCCCGGCTATTAGTACCCGAGACGGCGTGCGGTTTTAGTCGGTTTGAGTCCGAAATGCCACCGGTGGTATCCGAGGGGATTTCTGCTCGGAAAAAAAAAGGGCGGATATCTTATTTAGTCTATTACAAGAACTGATCATATCTTTTTTTTTTAAATTTTAAACTAATCAGTATGTTTGCAAATAGGTTAATACTATTAGTAAGTAATAAGAGAAGGGGAAGCAAAATAATCATTACTGTTATTGTCCAGTTTTTACAATTTTAGTACTAACTTAAAATTATTTAGGAGTTAGGGAATTAGCTAGCAGTAGATTAGCAACGGTTTAGTCAAGGTAACAAGTTTGTTTTAGTTCCGTTTTCTATCATAAGTTTATTTTTATGTCAAAAAGTTTTTATAAATGTTTTATTGACGCCTATTATCTTGAAGTGGAGTAATTTAATGAAATTGAGGCGAAAAAGTCGTTCAGTAATTGGATACCTAATCACTTTTGTTTTATTAAGTGTATATATTATCACATGTTTAATGAATTCTTAATCTGTTGAACTTCAAAGATTGCCTATTAAAAAACGTTATTACGACTTTGTCCCAGATATTTATCATCACACATGTTCAAATCACAACAAAGTTCCCGAATGTGGATTTTACACATACATACAATATTTCGTTAGAATGCCTTAAATATATTCACATATAAACAATTCCTTACAAAAAACAAAATCCGCCTCATTAGGAAGTAGGTACGTACCTACGTACTTGGTATGAATGAATCAACTTAAACGTAAAACGTCAAGTGAAAACATTTGTAATGGAATTATGTATGAAACAATTAAGATTCATACTCAATCATACTAAAATGTGTAATATCCTGTCATAATATATTTTTAAAGCTTATACCTAATTGCAGTAATGACTGTAAAAATACCAAGTTCTATCATTTAAAAGTGTAAGTAAAAAAGAAAAATATTATTTCCTCTTTTTATATGTCTTAACTCAAAGTACATAATTAAACAACTTTTATATGTAAGGGTTTTGAAAAGCGTTGTTCTAGTATCTATGACTTACCTGTTGTAAGAAAAACGGATGATTAACAATGTGCTTTTTATGACATGGTACCCCATAAAGAATATCATTTGTGTCTTTCAAGTACACACTATCTACAATAGAAAAGTCTTGATAAACTTTCTGTTTATGTTTCAGAATATTATCATCACCAGTAACACAAACACTTTTCTTCTTTGGAATTAATTTATATACCATGGCTTGGGGACAACATTTACTTAAACATTTATCACTAACACATAAATCCTTTTCTCTATTTGGCGGTTTGATTACACTACTATTGAAAGAGTAGTTTACTTGACACATGACGAAGCTGTGATAACACAATACAAAAAAAAACTTAAGTAACATGATAGATTTTTATTTATCTCGCACAATTTTTGGGCGACGACTGGCTCACTCGACGTGGACGTCCTCAGTGGACGTTTATTACTTATCAAAAAGTATTGACTAGAACACATTGCGTAGAACATTGTTTGGGATATTTATCCAGGTTTTTTTTATAGAAATTATTTTTGATACAACTCGTAGTTAACTAACCTTTACCGCTTTGTATTTTATTGTAAGACGCTAAAAGGTGATGTGGTCTAATGTTTATTATACTTACAAAGTCCAGAGCGACAGTAATTAGGCATAGATATGTAGACTGAAGCAGTTAGGTTTCTTGGAACTTAATTAATGTGAACACTATATTCTACGAACTTTGTAAAATCAAGGGGAACCAGTTACCTGTTAAGCACCGTGAAGAAAAAATATTTTCATGAACTGTTGAAGTCACTGTTATCATATTTTATGTGACTAGGTATATATACCACATTTACCTAATTATAATGATAATAAACAATTGCAACTGTCCATAAGCGTTGACGACTTTGTTTAAATTGTTACCATTAAAATGGATGATTAATCCAAGATAAATTTATCGTAATTATTAATATATTAAAGAATTAGATTTCTTTAGGGACGAGTGTTAAATACACTTACACTCAGTATATTTATATGTATATATTTTCACCATTTTAGTCCACTTTACTTCAAGCGAAAACATTATACTCACCTTAATACTATAAATGTACATACCTTTTCATTAACGCATAACAATTAGACACCTTTTGGAATAGACAATAGAATAAAATCTTTGGTAAATGGTAATAATCATTTTAATACTGTTAAAATTCAACAATATAAAATATAGGTAATAAAGGTCTATACACACAAGGAAATAAAAATTAACAAACTATTATGATATGGATACGGAAGAAAAAAAAAAGCTGGAAAATCAACTTTTATAAACTTCTGACTATTTACAAAGATTAAATGCACAATTCATAAGTACAAAGGTCATTGGTAAAAGAAATGTCGAACTACAATATAAATGATAAATTTTTCTGATCATCTGCTCATTATCTAAACGTAATTTAATTCATAAATTTAATGCAGGAAGGGAGGACTCTACGGATTTCATTTTACTATTAGCCGGCGCGTCCGGCGTGCACTTTGCCTATCATGTGTAGCTATCTAATAGCGGTATATTATACAACTATACGCTAAGGTAGTATCCAAAAAACATGACTCCGTAACATGAGTCACATTGTAACATTTAGAAGAATATGGCAAAACTACATTAATAAATAAGTATAGTGAGAAATCTTGTCCTTACTAAGTACACACTAATTAAACAGAGATCTAATTTATCATGTCCAAATACATCACATCACTTCAAATTTCCACAGCATCAGGAAACACGTGGTCAAGGTACGCTTGGTCACCGTAACTCTGAAGCGGTTTAGGTCTTTGATTCTTGGAGAACGATTGAACATTGTCACCACTGCACATATTAAACCTCGACGCTATTTCCTTAACTTTACCTGGTCTCGGCTTAAAATCTACCTCCTTTTCGCGATTAATGTGATCTCCTTCAATAGAATCCTCGAAGGACCTTTCAATTTTCTGTGTAGATTTCCAACTTCGATTCGAAGATCGTTTCGTATTTTGATAATCCTTCTCAAAGCCATCATTATGTATTTTATCGTTCTGTTTTCTTCCAGAGTTATTTCTGTCATACATTCTTAAATATTTTTTGGAATCTCTATGTTCGTTGTACTTTTGTGCATGTTGATTGCAGTCGGTATTTCTAGCTTTACCAAAAAATGGATCTTTGGAATATTCTATATCGTTATTGGTTTTGGAGACAAAGTTTTGCTCCCGTTCATGTTGCCTATTACTTGACCTTCTAGCTTTTGGAGGACCAGCCTTGAAACTGGAAAATCTTTCGTAATCATTATTGTTAATTTCTTTATCGGGGACGTTGTGTGGATTGAACGCATGAGTTCTTTGGTGAGTGAGAGGCTTTGATAACGATAAGTATTTAGGCGGTTCTCCGTGTTTATTAATCGTAATGTCGTATTGAATGTGCGGGTCCAAAACCGCGTATACATTCTCTTTGGCTTCTCTCTCCAGTGACGACAAAGCTGCCTGCGAACAAATACAAAACTTTTATTTTGCAAACAAACTCCTATTTTTGTTTAAGGAAGTTGTATAAAATTGTACCATGCAGACGAGCACCGTTAAGCCCATGTGGATTCGTGTTTGTGCACTTAATGTAATTAATGGTAACGAAAGATAGTGACATATTGATGAGAAACTGATAGTTACATCGTTGTTAGTTTAGTTAATTTGCCACACCTTTTTACTAAATTAATTAACTGTTTCGGGTCTCGTTTGTTAATAAATCGCATGTTCTTTACAAAACCACGATATTTTTATGGTAAATTTATTTGTAAGCACGTAAGAAAAATAGAAATTTAGAATCCAAACTAACATAACTTAAGTTCATCTTCACTACCACCATATACATAACATGGGTTATGACTGTACAAACAATCTAAACGGAATTTCCATCTATAAATTTTCGGACATCTCAGTTAAGTCCTTTTTAATTGTTCTTAAGAGAAATTCAAAAATAATTTTATTTGCACCACAAACATACATTACATTCCAGCTATCTATTTGTTTCCTTTAGTATTTATCGTCAGAACGTATTTAAGTGTATAACATTGTTAAAAAATAAATAAAAATGATACCAAGTTGATTATCTTGTGATCAAGTTGGTGATCAACTTGCATACATTTTTAATTTAATTAAAAAAGTTCTTGTTTAAAATAAAGTTGTTAAGAGTAGTCCTCAATAAAATTTAGGAGCCTACAGTGAACTAGTGCCGACTCTAGGCCGTTTATGCACGACGTTGATATCCCGCTAGCGCACCGAGACGATGCTAACGCAATGTTATTACCAGTACATCGCCGGCCGTATACGATACGTCACGAGTTTCGATATAATAGAATTTTTTTATCTTCAAAATGTTGGTTTATTTCCAAAAAAACTAGTATAAAACCATAAGGTTCTCTTAGACTGACCTAGCATACAAATAGTTACGTCTTTTTTATGTAAATTTATGGATTTCATCGTGAGATGTGACGTCTGTGGCCAGCAATATATTGAACATGAACAGTAATATGGCAAAATTAAAAGGCGATGATCGGCACCGCTACACCGTCGTCTACATGGCGCCCTAACGATTCCTCAAAACGTTTTATAGCCATTACATCGTCATAGATTTCTATACGTTTAGTGGTTAGGCTTTCATTGATGTCGTTAATACAGTTAGTGACAAGACGTAAATTGTTATTACTTGACCTTTTCCGCGACCGGTTTTTCGGGCAGTGTGTTTCGAACAATGTTTGCCCAGGGTTGGAACTTCCGACTTTTAATGAATTGTAAACACAACAGTTAGTTAGTACTTTACACTTTAAAGATTGGTAAATGTGCCATGACCTAAGTTTGAAGTATTCGTATAGATATAAAAATTTTAAATGAACTTCTTATTACGAATTTATAAACTTTTCGTAAGATTAATTTCGCCGTTGCCAATGTTATTTACTGGGCGGTTCCAAATCAAACAGAAGTCCACTGTGTCCTAGAGCCTTCCAAATAAATTTAATCAATTTTTATTATTAATGTATATTTTTCTAAGCTTTCTTCTTTTCTTCCACAATTCTTCTCGTTTTATTATCTCAACTGTTATCCTACCTCCTCTTTACAAGTCGACAATCTGGCACTCAAAACTCATTGCATTTACATTCATTCATACCTGGGTGTTCTTATCCTGGTACTGTTTGTTCTGACTCAGTATGCTATTAATATTCAAACTATCTCGGCTAACTACTTAATAGTGATAAGACTATATAGGCCCAAACCCTACAATTACCACGATCGTCTTTAATCTTTCATCAACAATGAACTACTTAATTATGCTCCGCCATATTTAATTTCCATCATTTCTGAACATATAAATCTTTAAAATCACGATGTATGACAGTTCATTCGACCCACGTAATAGCGTAAAACCCTCATAGTTGTCATCAAAAGGGGTACGTGTATCATGTCTCAAGTATAAACATCACGAAGAACATACATTAAACGGACCTAGAGAAGATTGGAGCTTGGCTTCGGCTCATTTGCGTATAAAACATCTATTTTTCTTTTATTCGTGAATGTCATGTGGTGTACTCGTATACACCCAAGTAGCTGTATATACACATATATACACAACAGGCTGGCAGCATCTCGAAAAGTTATAAATTCAAAAACGAATACAAATTACTTCAACTTATTCGTGTAAATTATTAGTTTTTAACGACGGCTGATATTGTTTTAATATCCAATTACAATAGTCGGCGAAGTCGAGGCTTCTAAGCCGGCAGTCCGTTCGGAAGTGGAAAGCTTCTATGGCCGGTCATACGCCTCGCATGCATCTCGACCGGATCCCGAAAATGAGGCCTCCAGAGCCACATTAACAGGTCACTACACCGATGATCCGCCAGATGTCAGAACTGACGAAATCGAGGTGGCTCTTGGACAGCCGAAAAACGGAAAAACCCCTGGAGAGGATGGAGCACAGCAGAGCTGCTAAAGGCCGGACGTAAATCCGTACTAAGAGAGTTCTTAAAGCTCTTCAACGCTATCCTGTTTGAAGGGAGAACTCCGGTGACGTGGAGTAGAAGTGTGGTCGTCTTGTTCTTCAAAAGGGGTGACAAGACCATGTTGAAGAACTATCGACCCATAACCCCTTCTAAGCCACGTCTACAAGCTGTTTTCGAGAGTCATCACGAACCATCTTACGCGAAGACTCGACGAATTCCAACCACCGGAGCAAGCTGGGTTTCGAAGCGGATATGGCACCATTGATCACATCCACACAGTGCAGCAGATTATACAAAAGACCGAAGAATATAATCAGCCTCTGTGTCTAGCATTCGTGGACTATTAGAAAGCCTGTGACTCGATCGAGATCTGGTCTGTTCTGAAGTACCTCCAGCGTTGCCAGGTAGATTGGCGATACATCCAAGTGATGAAATGTCTATACGAAGCCACCACCATGTCCGTCCAAGTACAGAATCAGCAAACAAGGCCCATACCGTTGCATCGAGGAATGAGACAAGGGGACGTTATTTCCCCGAAATTGTTCACAAATGCAATGGAGGATATGTTCAAGACGCTGCACTGGAAAGGGCGTGGCATCAATATATCAAATACATCTCTCACTTGCGATTTGCAGACGACGTCGTCATCATGGCAGAGACGCTGCAGGACCAACAACAGATGCTGAATGACCTAGCTGACTCTACTGTACGCATCGGCCTACGGATGAACCTGGATAAAACCAAGGTCATGTTCAATGAACATGTACTACCGGAACCGATTGCGGTAAACGGTGCCATTCTCGAAGTTGTTCAAAATTATGCGTACCTCGGGCACACATTGCAGTTAGGTAGAAACAACTTCAAGGACGAGATGAACAGAAGAATCCAGTTGGGTTGAGCAGCGTTTGAGGAGCTACGTCGAGTCTTTTCATCGTCCAGTGCCTTAAGACGAAAGTCTCCAATGAGTGCATCCTACCCGTCATGACATACGGAGCCGAAACGTTGACAGTTACGGTATGGCTGGTCCACAAGTTCAAAGTCGCTCAACGTGCTATGGAAAGGGCTATGCTCGGCGTTTCTCTAAGGGATCGCATCAGAAATGAGGTGATCCGGCAGAGAACCAAGGTCGCTATGTCAGCCTACCGGATTAGCAACCTGAAGTGGCAGTGGGCTGGCCGCATTAGGCGCAGAACCGACAACCGTTGGGGAAAACGAGTTCTTGAGTGGAGACGGGTCTCGGTAACCGTAGTGTAGGACGCCCACAGGCCAGGTGGAGTGACACTTTGCGCAAGATGGCTGGCAGGAGCTGGATACGAGAAGTCCAAAATCGATGTAAGTGGCGTGCAATGGGAGAGGCCTATGTCCAGCAGTGGATTGCGATAGGCTGATGTTGGCAATAGTTGGGTGTCAGTCGTGATATAATATTATATTGTGAAAATTACGTCTCGATGACGATGTATCCCTAATTATCTATGCACATTATTGTTTTTATCTTAGAAACTCTTAATTGAAAATTGTTATAGTTAAGTGAATTACAAAAAAATAAACGCGTCTATTCCTGAAAAGTGAACATGTATTTCTCCATATTAGACGTGTTAATCGTGACTCTCCATGTCTTTGACGCCTTAGTTATTTATATAAATTTTATTTAATTAGTTTGAAGACTCGTTATCACTAGGCAACTTACTTGTATATTTACAAAATGTTTTAGAGTAAAGCAGAATTAATCAAAATTTTAGTTTCAACGCAACAATTAATTAAAGAAAGTATGCCTATTGAAAACGAATCGGTAAGCCAGAGTTAGTGAGTGCGTGCACTGTCACACCTGTGCTGTGTCACACGGTGGTAGGGGGCTGCAGCACGACGGCGGCGCGCCGCACCTGCAGCGCGGCGGGCGAGTAGCGCGCGCCTAGAGTGTTGGTGTTAGGGTTGGTGTTGGCCGCGCCGCCCATGCCCGTCACGTTCCCGCCTCCCATCGCCGCTGTCATCGGCGCGCGCGGCGTGTACACTGCGTCCGCGGGCAAGGCGGCCTTCTCACTGGGTAACGATTGGAAATTTCATTGTTAGTGTTTTGTGTTTTTCTTTTTTAAATATATAATTAAATATAATATGTGCTCAAAATTCTTTACCTGTCTAAATCTTCAGTCTTGTATTCCACGCTTTCTAAAAAAAAAAAACAAAGGAAAACTATAAAAACACGTTTTGAATAAAGAAGATTCTCAATTAATAACTGACATATCTAACTACTAACTCCTATTACGCACATAACGTTCTATTCGTAGGTATTAATTTATCTCTTTCCAATTCTACAAATCCGCCATGATTGATTTCTATGGAATTTCACTACTATATGATATAAGGAACTTTTTAGTTCCGAAAACATTCCGTTTCCATCCACTAATTGATCAGACTGAGAAACCACTAGGGTTGTAGCGTCCGGCAGCATTTTGACAAATAAAGACCCAATAAATATGTACTAAACCTTTTAGAAATAAAATTATCTACTATGTAAGTTACCTCTTCGCCTTCGACACCTAATGATGAGACAGAGCACGATGACGAGGAGCGCTGCGATGACGAGCGCCGCGGCGATCAGCGGCGCCACGTGCGCTGTCTCTGTTAGCGAAAAATTATCTGCGTGAACAAAATTATATTATCGTTATAACATGCACATTACACGTTCACATACGCAAGCAGGCTAAGGGTTAGGGTTTGTAAATTATTTATTAGTAGTTATGCATCACTTGAAAATGAAACCTCCTTTCTAGGGAGAGGTCTATGTCCAGCAGTGGACTATTAAAAGCTAACAACAGCTTTTAATAGTCCACTGCTGATGATGATGATGATGAAAATGATGAAAATGATGATATACTACGCTTTGAGGCTGAAAAAAATTGGAATATTTTGCTGTAAAAATTTGGGAAACACTAAAAGTATTACTTTCCTTAGATTAGAAACGTCTGTCGGTACTGTTTATAAAAAAATGGCTGCAAAAAACATATCGCAGAACAGTATGGGATTTCTAATTACTAACTACTATTTTTGAAGCTGTCAAAGCGATGCGGAAGTAGATACGGTACTGAAGACTCCGCAGAGTTTTAGAACGAAATTATAAAATCAATTGTTAAGGTACGGTTGTTGTGACCATCCAACACAAAATAATGATTCTCGAACTAGGCGTCGCCTAACGGCTGATGTTAGACATTTGTACGCATATATACCTACCTATCAGCGCGATTGCAGCATACTTTTGTTGCATGTAGAATTCGCCACACGCTTAATTCCCCCTAAGACTTTGCCAATGTTGTTGCGTTGAGTTCTTTTTTAGGAGTTAGGCTTTCACAGAGAATCATTTTTAGGTTAGGTTTATACAGTAAATAAAATATATGAAGTTCTAGTGCTAGATTCTGAACGGGAAATGTTTGAAATGCAGTCAAATAAAGAATACTCTAAGCTTTACATAACACAAATGAGAAAATACTAAAGTGTTGACAAATTTAGTAGTATAAAAATCACGACTCACCATGCACAGTGAGTGAGACAGCATGTGAAGAGAATCCTCTCTCATTCTCCACGTGTAACACGTAATCTCGCGCATCTGCGATTTGTGTATTGGTGATCAAGAGCGTGTAGCGGTAGCAGCCACCATCTGTCGCCGGCTCCATACTATGATAGCGACCTAGACAAAAAATAAATTAATGTTAAAAGCGATGACTCTTGGAAGAAGATTAGTGACTAACTATGATTTTTAATTGCAGCGCGGAATGAATTCGAAGTATAGGGTTCCACACGGGTGATGCAGCACCGCGTTGCAACGTCAATGACTCAGTGCGTGTACAGGGTTACTCCAGTCTCTTCGGCTATGGACCGAAATATCGAGCTTTGTTGCTATTATTATTATCAGTTCATCGAATGAAAGAAAAATGTTAAATACCGCGATTGCGGCACGTCAAGCCCGGTGCGACGCCGCGGCAGTTCCTACCACGTCGTGTGACATCGTATAATTATTTGTATATAGGATGACGTAGCGGCACCGCTATCAACGCATCGTGTGGCTTCGCTCTTAGTTTGCATCAAGGTATAGCCGTACTCACCGATAGTCTGCGGCACGTCGAGCCGCAGGCTGCCCCAGAGCCAGGCGGCGCGGCGCGGCGGCGGGTCGGCGCAAACGGATGCCGCGACGCGCGCCTCGCCGCCGCTCCACGCGTGCGCCGCGCCCTTCTCCGCGCCCACCGGCGGGCCCAGCACGTTCAGCGTCACCGCCTCCGACTGATGGTTCCTACAAACATTTAAATAAAAATGATATTCCATTGCAAAATAAAAAAAAAAATTACGTCTCTGTAGCAAAAGTTATGTTAAAAGATTATGGATCGTCAAGATGCGGCAAGTTTGCAAAACTGAGAAAATAATATATGAATTCAAAATGTTATTAGTAACATAAAACACACTTCCTCCTCAGCATGAAAATGGAATGTATTAATTTGGAAATTCAATTGTTTAAACAATTGAATGAGTACAATGATGGGGCGTTTGCATGAAAGAAATAGTTCGCGCAAATCGAACACGATCAGCACACGTAGACGGCCGCGCACCGCCCACGTGATTAGGCCGTCTGCGCATTCATCTGATTATTAGCCTTTTTACTATATTGCCTACTGACAAGAATACTCGTTTGTGACGAAAATAAAGTATTCGACTTTGTTTGACACATCATTTATAATCCATTAGTTATTTATAATAAAAAGGGTGATAAAATTGTTGTTGAATTACCTGTCCTCCAATCCGATTTGGTTGGTAGCGATACAGGTGTACCGTCCATGTTGGTCGTATGACACGTTATGTAGTTGCAACTGTGGTGTCATCGAAATCGGGTAAGCGCCATCTTGTAACGGGTTCACGCGAGATGATGAAGCGGTGCTATGAACGAAAATTTTAGTAGTATTAAGGCATATCCAAATAATTCGTTTTATTACTAATGGAGTTTATGTTCACGCATTGATAACTTTACAAAAACCAAGTTATTTCAAAACTTGAGCTTGATAATCTCGTATCTTAGATTTTAAAGTAATAAGTAATAATGAAATTGATTGATAATAAGCGGTTAGTACAAATTGTGATGGTATCACTGTTTACTGAATAACCATAGTGATTGAACAACAGAGGAAAATAATCGGCTGTTGACCAAAAAAAAAGAAGAATGTATTATAAAGTGAACAATGTTACGATTTATGTGAGGATTAAGAAAGAAGTGAATGTTTTTCAGTTCTTTTTCAACTCTGTAAGTCACTCAGATGACAAACTAAACTATTCGTCTCGTGGTTAATGACTCTCACTGCTAAGCCGCGGAGATCGTAGGTTAGATTCCCAACCATGACAAATAATCGTGTGATGAGTATGATCATTTGTTCTGTGTCTGGGTCTTTATAGTATTATATTTTTTTTTTTTATTTATCTATAATACGGCGTGTCGACTGCACGGATGGCGCAGTGGTTTAAGCGGTCGCCACGCCGCTTCCTACTGCGCCGAGTGTTGTGGGTTCAAACCCCACATGGGACGACACTTTGTGTGATCCACAAATTGTTGTTCTGAGTCTGGGTGTTCTTTGTGTCCGTTTCATGTGTGTTTGTAAAGTCCCCCGCGACACAGGATATATTCCTAATGCGGGAGTTGCTTTTTTAAAGAAGAAAAAAAAAAGAAAAGGATTAGGCGTGGCTAGGGTTCCTTGGTTATTTCATATTATAAACATTTCACATTAACGGTTTCGAAGCCCTATTTCGTCGAGTTAGTTGGGCGACTATAAATCGTAAACCAATAAAGCCACTTGGCTGTTATAAATTTTTCTCAGATCTCCAAAAACTGCCGTTTGGCTAGGAGGGGGTGGGCACACTTGACTATAACAAACATCAGCGCTTTATATCTTAATATCTAACAAAAGGATACCTTAATTAAAATACTGTCTTCCCAAACCCGTATTATTTTTAATATCCCCACTTAAAACAAAAAACATCAATACACTCAAAAAAATTTCAAGATTTTATTTTACCACTTTGTCGGCGTGGTGGGTATGTATATTCAAATGAAATTAGTTAGTTTTTAGCACTAATAGTTTAATAGTTTTAGCAGTAATAGATATATAGTGGTTCCGTTTTTGCTATTTTGGCTACGAAACCCTAAAACTAACAGAAAAGTTACGAAAAACTAAAACCAAAAAAAACTAATCTTTAGTTGCTCTTTTGTTACTTTACACCAGAGAATTCTGAAATGATTCTGTTCGATCGAATCTAAACTCGAATGCTATACAGTCACAGTTAGTACATCCATACTTACATAATATTATATGAATACGAATGATAGTATGTTTGTATGTAAAATTAAATTGACTGAAAAACTCTAAATAACGCGAAAAATAAAGTTAGTAATTAATATAGTATACTTACTTATGATACCACGTGTAGGAGGGCGGAGGATTGCCCTCCGCCTTGCACTCTAAAGTCACTTGGGAGAACAAATTTGCTTCAACCACGGTGTCAGGGCCAACCCATGTCACTCGCGGCGGATCTGTAAACACAATGTTAATTCTATATTTCTGTTTATGTTTGAAAGTGTGAAGCAGTCAGCTTCAACGTTAACTATCACTCAGTTTTTCAAAATTAGGGGCCATTAAAAGGATAGGATGGCGGCCTGATTGCATTAAGACGAAATTGGGCCGCCACATCGCAATTGAGGGTGGAAGTGTTTTTCCCCTGGGATAGGGCCTGACTAGGCATGGAGTCAATTCGGGGAGGACCTGAAATAACATGGTCTAGGTCCTCCCAGAGTAGGGCCTGAGGCCGGCCGTCGGGGTGGTTTTTAGTGGAATCACCACATATTCCTAGCTCCTAGCCCCGAGGAGCAGGAGATCCGAAGGGATTTTCCACCCCGACAAAAAAAAAGAAAAAAAAAGGGACCATTAAAAATATATTTACATGCATTGTTTCCTAGGTATAGTTTCTATGTCAGATGTTATTAAGGTATTATATCTACTTATATGAAGAAGAGGTGAATACTTAGATGATAAAAACTTACATTTTACATCAATTTCGATCTTGACTGAGTCTGAAGTACCCAAGGAATTTCTCGCTTGACAGCCATAGATGCCTAAACAAAGAAACGATTACGTTTTTTAATTAAAATACAAATAATCAAAACAAGTATGAGAATTCAGGAGCATTTATTAATTATAAAGATCATAATTAAACATAATTAAAACATAGCTTTATACTTCTACTATATATAAATATTAATTGTGCAAAATCTCGGACTCTATTATAAGACTAGGTAGTATTCAATAAAGTATAATTATAATATAGAGTGTTACCTGAGTGATTCCTCGCGACAGGGGCCAGGATGAGTTTAGCGCCATTGGTAGCGATGACCTGTCCATTCTTGGTCCACCACACATATGGACTGGGATTTCCGTCAGCTTTGCACTCGAGGGTCAAAGCGCTGGAGCCCTCCTCTAGATTAGCCAGAGTGCTGGCGTCGCCACCGATTATGGACACTACTGGAACAACTGATATAAAATACTCATTAGGTTTAGTTTTTTGATAATAATATCTACTTTTTGTTGAATAATCAAAAAAATTACACATATTTATTCGTTTAAAACTTTATGCACTTGTGTGCATCGTCGGACTTAATGCCCTGGACATTCTCTACCAGTTAAACTTAAGGTGGTGTAGAAATTTGGTCAGGTGCATTGAGGTTACAGTAGTGATATTAGTTGTAAAGTTAACTAACATATACACACACACAAACATACACAAATATACATACATACAAGCATAAATATACATATAAATACACATAAATACATATACTTTATATTCGTACACTGTAATGTATTATGACTTTCAAACTAGGGTGTGGATTTACTACATTTTGAACAAAGCGACTACGACTACGGCTGTATAAACTAGATATAAAAAGTTATCGAATTACATTAAAAGAAAAAGAAGATTCTCTCATTTTGGTGCAATTATTATAAATTCTTAGATATTTTAAGATATATAGATATTTAAGATATTTTAAGACCTTACTTTCACTGCCAGTGTCAGAGCGCTTAACTGGGTCCAATCCTATTTTGCATAATGATTTCGCTTTATCACCGTATCTATGTCACTGCGTAACAAGTCCAGAATCCCGTTGCTAAACAGTCTACTTTAATTTAAAGTTTCACCTGACGCGAATACGTATGTGTTTTCGAATTACTCTGTATAGATTAATTCGAAAATTTATACGTACATAACATACATAAATCAGCCTCGTAGCGATACGAAAAGTTGCAAACCTGCATTGGAAATTAAAACTCATTTTCGTTTGTTTGTGTAACTGATTCAAACGAAAAGCAACAAATACAAAAATGTTGCTTTTATTCCATTTTTTATTACAGTAGCAAAGTCAGCTAATTGCTAATTAATTAAGTTGTAGTTTGCAGGCAAATGCAACGGCAATATCTATTTTACCCCGTAGGCTTATAAATTAAAATGAGTTGGATGCTGCTACAGCGACTAAATATATTCAGGACTGTATGTATTACAATTTTGCAATATCTGACTGTAACACAGAGTAAATGGTATCTAAAATGTATATTAAACCATGGACCTGTCGAATGCGGTTGGTCTATTTGCATATTTTAAATCTTACATGTAACATCTAGCATGGTGTAAGAGTCCCGGTAGTAAGGTGATGGGTATGAAGGATGATGAGCGCGACAAGCCAGCTGTCTGCCGTGGGCAGACCTAGTGGCGCCAAGCTCGAGAACTGATCGTGCTGCCCATACTCTTGGCCGTTCCACCTCTGAAGCATTGGTTTGACTCCAAGCTGTCAAACGTTCTTTTTCTGAAATAAACAAGTAAAAATGAGTCAGAGTGTACATAAATTACGTTATTTTGATACAGATTTAATAAATGCCATATTAAAGAATAACAAAATAAATGAACGATTTACAATAATTAATAAATGAAATGGAAAAAAAGTTACATTAATTGAGGCCTATTCACTTCTTTTTCTTTACTTCTACCACAATTATAAACTTTTCAACAAATATTTAAGACTAGATGCCAATAAAATGAAAATTTCGACAACTCACTTTCGTATAATATCAATAAAAGTTATTCAATTTCTATTTAAAATAAAATACAATTAAGGTGAAAAATACATGAAACAAATAGGTTTTCTCGTTTTAATATTTAATGTCCAGAATATTCTATACTAGATAATCTTGATATTCTCATTTTTATCTTTAATCTTTCATCTTTCATGACTCGGCATTGACATGACATTATTGGATCAAAAGTATTGCCTAACCTATTTATGAATTACAGGCACAAAGTACCCATCTAACGTCTAGTTCTAATATATCGTATATTTTTGTGCTATTTTGAATTAGGTAATTAATAATAAAAGATTGGTAATTGCTTTTTGCCACGCACTACCAATCTGTGAATGAAGTTATCGGCTGCGGTATTTCCGGACCGATACGACCTCTTTCCTCAAAGGCTGGCAATGCGCTTGTGACTCCTGAGTTGCAGGCGGTAGTCGCTTTCCATCATGTGACTCGTCTGCTCATTTGCCCCCTATTCCATAAAAAAAAATGCAATGAGGGGGCATTGCATTTTTTTTACTCAAACAATTAATTCACAAATACTGGTAATAATAATTTGTGCAACGCGAGTGGTATATCTCTAAATTCAATTATATTGGAGCCAGTAAACAAAATTTTAACGTAACCAACTTAATTTGACAAATTGAACAACATCTCATTTGTGAAATCATTTTGGGTTGCTAAATTACTGTGGGCCACAGAGTCGTACGTACATGGTACTAAATTTGTAATAAGACCCTCGGTAATTATTATTCGGGTTGGGTTATACATATTTACAATTTACAACATACATTACGTTACGTTTGTTAGTTAAACAAACGTAATGTGTTATTTGAAGTTAAGCCATTTGGTCACTACACTCGTATGTGTTTTGAAATATATTGTTTTTCACGTATCAATTATTTCATTTGTGATCAACATCATTTCAAAAATGTGCTCTTTAGGTTTTGCACAAAAGGGTCAATTTTAAGTGGTTTGATCATTCGCTTAAACGGTTTACTATAATATATTCTATTCTTTCAAAATAGAACAAAAGTTAAACAATCATGCAATAAAAACAACTTTATTTCTTCGTGTATGATATGCCCATAGTGAAGAATGCTTTGGGAAATACATAGCTCTCTCGATTTTCCATAATTTATGCGTTAGGTACGTGTTAAAGAATAATATTTTTACCTGATTCTAATACTATGATTAATTAAATGTGTTAGACAATGAACCTCCTGACGATAGTAACATATTATTATTACACATAGCTATATGCGCAAGGTACTCTCTAAAAAAGAATTTACTACTTTACTTACCTAAATACCACTCAATGTAAGCTGGTGGGTTTCCATATCTAGCCTCACATACGACTGTCGCCCTGTTGCCAGCTGGTACGGTGATGTTTTGACCAGGCATTACGTGAGATCCGTTAAACAATATCCGAGGAGATTGTGGTGGTACTCTGACTGCTAATGCTGCGGGGGGACTTGACAGGGCATCCTGCAAGTAATTTAAAGTGTTGTTATTGATTGCTTACATAGGTACTTATGGTTAGTAGTTTTGTATGCAATGTAAAATCGCCTTAGATTTTTGAACGTCAAACTTGATAATTGCAAACTTGATAATTTTTTTAAAGTCAGCTGGATAATCTATAGAAGTAGACTTCGTCAATCAAATTACCTGCACATCGTAGTTACTGGCAGTGACTTGACACTGCCACTGGCCGTCGTCAAGTTGCAGCGTCGCAGCTCGTACCCATAGCGAGCAGTCGCCTCCCACTGGACTGTTCTCGTTGGCCCATTCGTACTTGCCCCTATATATACCCACCGGCTGTAAACAAAATAAAGCAAATTTTACAAACAAGTACACAAAACTAGTCTTAAAATTACAAACAAGTACACAAAACTAGTCGGGGCAATGTACAAGATATTTGACAAGTCCCTTTTATGGCCGGCCGCCTGCTGACACTATCTTTGAAAATGTAAACGTTTCCAGATGATTTAAAGGAAGAAAATGAATGATAAAAGAGTAGGCGAGGAACCCAGGGTAAGGGATTCCACAAGTCTACTGTAGAAGAGGCTGGAGTTGCATCGACGTATGTCTGTCCTGTAATCGAAGAAGTCCTAGGTCAGGAACTTTGAAAAGTCATTTAAATTCATAGCCAATTGCATATATTCTTAAAACCGTATTTGAGAATAAAATATCGCTAATTTAGCTATTATATTAGCTATACTGATTATTTATCTTATATGGAACCTACAAAAACCAGTAAAATCATAACAAAAACTCACTATGCAGATATGCTTAATGGACGTCTGTCTAGATTTTTAAATTTATAAATAGGTTTTCACGGCAAACAAAAACTCCCTGCAAACTATAAAATATAACACGACAAAGCTTTTTGAAACTGAAAACTAAACTGAATTGTATAATTTATATCGATTGTAAATGTAAATAAATGTTTAGTAACGGTACCTGATATACGCGGCTACAGACAAAAATTCTAAATTGATCTAAAGCGAAATCATGAGCATAAAGAATACTAAAACACCTGATTATAAACATATTTTATATAATTGCTTAGGTATGCAATGCACGAGTCTACTCAGACCATTATAAAACTGATTACTGATAATTTATATACCTACTTAAAGACTTTACTAACCTGACCACTTTATAATATAATAATATACAATCAATACAAATTCATTTACATCGTGAGAAACTAATGTAGTTACATTTCATCTTAGCCCATAAAAAGTAAAACCAATCAAGACTAATTCTAACAATACCAATTTTATCAGTAACTAAATGACCGCTTAGATGTACTATCCAAAACAAATTTGTACACACAGTATTTAATTTAATTTTGTGCTCCATATAATAGTATAATTATTTAAATCTATACAATGTACATATAACGATCGAATAACATATGAACTCATTGCCGTAAAGTATCAGTCAAAGTATTAGTTTCAAAGCCCGTATAGACATTGGAAATGAATGGATCTCCTATAAGAACGATAAAAGCCAGGAAGTAAGAGAATTAAATGTATGTGGGGCTGTTTTATTCAGCTGTTTAAGATGCTATTCAAATGCTACTCTTGTAATACTTATAAGTAATATTAAATTACAAACTCAATGAACCATTCTCTCAAATACACGGCTTGATGTCATAAAGAATCCAGAATTTGGCCATGAATTTTTAGTATAAGAATGAATATTTCAGGGATATTATGGTGTTATTAGAGTTGTAGGTAAAGGGAAGTCCGTAGCGTATCTAGAAATACTCAATACTTTAAGCAACGCCAAAGCCATTCAAAAGAATATTAAATCGTTTCTTTCCATTACAGAATCCAGCCACATACGATTTTTACGCGATAATATATAACTTACACGCTTTGTATTGCCAACGTGGTCTAAATTATTTATTAAATTGTTTAATAAAGATCTGTTTATAATTTATAATGCAGTACATTATTACTACAAGTAGAAGAGAAGAAAAGCTTGCAGTAATCATTAAATGATCAGCAGCTACCAATTTTAATAATTTATCCCCACATTGCTTACATTAGAAACAGATCTTTCCAATATAATATTTATACTTTTTAAGTAACGATAAAAGGATAACTTAATTACAAAGGCTGTCACAATTCTTAGAAATATTTAGTATCATTTTATATTATTTTCCTGACAAGGAAATATCATCATTTGATACGTCCTTTGCAAGTTTAAGTAATTATATACTTTATTAATGTTTTCTTTTACAACATGGTTAGCAACTAATATTTGGTTTAATTGTTACGTTCAATATGCGTGACAGCTTTATGCTCCTTTTTATGTGGACTTTATAATTAGATAAATTAAACAAATTCCAAATTATTTTTCGAAAGTAACTGTTTGAAATGTTTATTATTTGTTATAAAACCTTTTTGTTTGCGTATAAAATCAGGTTTGTTTTTTACTACTTCATCAATGGCATTCATTTCAACTTTATCCCCAGTACAGCCTTATAAAATGTAAATAAGTTAAGTGAACAATTAAAAGGCTACGAGAACCGTTCGGACCAGATAAACATTTTATCTGAAATAAACTAATCTCAACCTTTCGCAGAATCGTAATGAATCTAAAGCTACAGGAATTAAATCTAACTTTTGTTTTGCGGCACAAATATTTTAATTAACTAAAAGGTCCAGGATAAATCTCGGCATTTCTGTTTATTATGAATAACTTTACTCAGCTTCAATGGGAGCTGCAGTGTGGTTGAAGTATTAAAAAAACGAGATTTCTACACTTTGCATAAGCGTAGTACGGTTGAGCAGTTTCTCCTTTTATCTGTGCCCATGGTACGTGAAAAAAACATTAGGCCGACAACTTACAAAATTGCAGCCCGAATAACCGTGCATAAAGAAAACCTCCCTATTGTGTATGACTAACATATGCACGCAATCTCATCGTAAACACTTATCTGGATGCGTGTTCAATAGGTGGAAGAGATTGGCTAGCTAGTTTACTTTATCGTTTATCTCCAAGTCTAGTTGAAATCAATTTAAAATCAATTTTCACAATTTCAAATGTAAGCCATTGTGATTAGAATTCTTTACTAATTGAACCGAACTAAAATATATTTTTACATCGATATGGAGTTCCGGCGTTCGCTGTTTAAAGACTCTAATAGTAAATTTGAAACTATTTTAATATTCTTATTGCCTAAAGCAAAAGTGAAATTAAAGAAAGACACCAAAGAAGACAGTAAATCAATCCCAAGAGAAATAATTTCTAATACAAATTTCTGTTGGAAGTTTTTAGTTTGCACAAATTGTTGTCCTAAGTCTGGGTGTTTTTGTGTCCGTTTATATTCCTAACACGTTAGTTGTCTTTAAAAAAATCGTGTCGCGAGTGTGTACTAGACTAACGGCTATATTTGAGTCACAACAACCAGCAAAAAATTATAAACTATTTATAGGTATATATAGATTGTATTCGACGAATTCAACTGTATTGATTATTATTTAGTATCGATGCTTTTGAAAATATCTTTTATAGTGATTCAATATCGACTATTCAAGTCGATATAAAAAAAAACTATCACAACAAAACTGTTGTATAATTTTACGTAGATCTGAAAAAAAAACATTTTCAAAAACGCTAAACATACATATAATCATTAATTCTAAGACAACTTTTAACCCTACTTTGTTATATTCTTTTCTTCAGGCTTCCTTTTTTAATGCTCAACATTTTACTTTTCTTTTTAATAACTTAGACAACACCATATTTCTTACGGTCATTTTCTCATTAGAGCGACCTAAAATCTTAGTAACAATCCTGCTTATTAATTCCATCCATTAGAAACTTAAGTAACAAATGGCTAACATACATTTTCCAATAATGCAGAGAACCATTAAAAAGGGGTATGTCTAAGGCTGGCAAAGGAAATGGTCGATTTCAATGGACATTACTGGCGGTTGACTCAAATAAACGACCTAAGAATGTACGATTTCAATCTACCCTCGTTTGGACTTATTTAGACTGATCTTTTGTTATTAAGCTTTAAGTTTTCTGGGTGGTTTATTAGTTAAATGGTATCGGTAATCGTTAAATGGTAGTATATGTCCGAAATGTGAACATTTCTTTATCATTATCAAATGCTATAGAATTTTTAAGAAAAAAAGATTTATGCAGATTAAACACTAACAAATTTAACTATGTATGTATACATATGTATATAAATAAATAAAGGTAACAATTGGTAACGCCAGTTTTATTTTGTTATGAAACTTGAGATAAGTAAAGGAAAAAGTCGGCGCCACAAGGTCACTGTTATGAATAAAACAATATCGAATGTAAAAAAGATTAAATATTATAATTTGGTTTCTGTTCCATTAAATGAAATTGTGTTTCGTAAGAATGCTTATTACTCTCGCAGTCTTGGTGCTTATATGACAGGTAAACTTTATTAAGCAATTATAATATATCCTCCGTTTTGTTTGGTGTTACATAAAAAACGTTTGCAACGTTTCTTCAAAGCTTTAGATATTTTAATATTAAAATATTCATTGGTGTCTTCTTCTTCTTGTATACATATATAAAATACCTGGTGTTGTGAATCACTCTTAAATACATTTCATGCACTTTTTAGGAAATATTGACCTTTGTAACTAAGTTAAAACACAAAAGTAATAATTGGAAATTACGAGCAAAGACGTAGATAGAAAACTGGTATAATTTATGCTGAACAAATTCAATTTAGTGTACATGTATGGCATACTTATGTAGACGTTATATTGTATTCATTTTCAAATATTTACATTCGTTGGTAATTTTTAGTTGTCTATTTAATATTTGGTTATAGTCTTCACGCCAGAATCAACCGCAACAGCTTCTCTGGAAAATATAGTTGATTGTAATCATATCTCACCCGCACTAATCTAAATACAGACAGTAATGCTTTAGGCATTATCTACAAAGGTGATTAGAAGTCATTCTACGGAATGGAATTTGGCAAATATTTTGGGCTATTTACATAAAGGTGGTTGTTATGAAGACTATCATGTCTACTTAGCTGATGAGCTTAGAATAACAGTTTAGTTAGGACATTTCTATGAACAACGGTTACATTAACAAAGAGGATCATCCTTAATGCATAAAATAAGCGTAGAAATTTTCTTTTAGACAATATTTTACTTTGTCACACATCCAAACTACGTCTGCTATGTCAAAAAAAGAATCTGTTAGCTTTAAATGATCAGGTACTAAGCTATACATTTTTACTCTTCTACTTAGATATTTTTTATTTATTTATTTATTTATTTATTTATAACCAAACTTACATCTATTTTTACAGGTTACAAACCCAATGCAATAGCGAAGCAAATTTTATTTTTCTTTATAACATATTGTAAATATTGTTACTTTAGTGAATTCACTCAGCGAACAATGAAATATGTCAATCTCCTCCGCAACGATATTCAGCGTGCGGAGCGCCCGAGACAGAGGCGCCTCATTTAGAAGATTGGTACGCCCTCTTGGCACCACCAGCAGCTGGGGCCGGCGCCGGCGCCAGACGTACCTATCCGGCACCCATAGCCTTACCAAACCCAATATATCTGCATTGTGTATCCTACCTCTAATAATTTTAAATATATATTCTACTAGCATAAACTCCCTTCTGACTCTCAACTCACTGTATCCAACCATGCCTAGAACAAACAGAGTTGGATACATGAGTGGGTAGAAGGGATACACTCCGTATAGACGTAAATATAAAAATCTAATAAATTTATTTTGTACACGCTCCACCATGAGACTATATTTAGTTTCATGTGGAGCCCATATGACTGCGTTGCATTCTAATTGGCTCCTCACCAGTGCATTGTATAAAGCAACAATTGCTTTAATATTTTCATAATTTCGAGAGGTACGTAATATGAAACCTAAATTTCTAAAAGCCTTCTTACAGCACTTGACAATATGATTACGAAACGTTAGCTCTGTGTTAAAAATAACTCCTAAATCTCGGGCTTCTGTGACCCTAGTCATAGGCACCCCCTCAATACTATAACTAAAAATGATAGGGGCATGAGCGCGTGAAAAAGTGATAGTCACGCATTTATTAAGATTAAATTTCAATCTATTATCACTACTCCATGCCACTACCCTATCAATGTCTTCTTGCAGACGCCCGCAGTCATCCCTACCATTTACAGGTAACGATAACTTGAGATCGTCCGCAAACAGCAAGCATTTCGCGTGTTCCACGACCTTTGGCAGCTCATTTATCATGATAATAAACTGAAGGGGTCCGAGGTTACTTCCCTGACTTACACCTGACCACGTAAAATATGGCGCCGAAACATGTCCCGCATACTCCACATACTGCCTCCTATCCTTCAAGTAACTGGCAAAGAACCTGAGCAAGTGCGGGGTGCAACCGACGCCAGCTAACTTCTTGAGAAGCGTGTCATTGTCGACTAGGTCAAATGCTTTTTTGTAGTCGAAGTATGCCGCATCTACCTGCCCCCCTTCGTCCACCGTTGGCACCACGTACGTCACGTGGCTCAGGAGGTTACTGGTGGTGCTCCTCCTTGGTCTAAACCCGTGTTGAGCCTCCGAGAGTTGCGCTTGAACCTGTGAGAAAACTGTCTTATGGATAGCTGACTCCAAAACTTTTGCGGGTGATGACAGTACCGCTACCGGTCTATAACCCTCGATTTTATCTCCTAGCGTCCCCTTCGGTACTGGCACGACACGGGTTGTTTTCCATCTCTCGGGAAACACAGCAGTTTTAAGACACCGATTATAGATGTGCAGCAATGGCTCAGCCAACACCGACCCACAGTCCCTAAATATGTAAGGGGGGATGCCATCCGGCCCCGCGGACCTCTTCGGCTTAAGTTGTTGTAGAGCTCGCCTTACCTCACTCAGCTGTAGTTCTTCCAGGTGAATACGTGCCGCTCCATTCTCGCCGCCTGCTTCTGATATCGCAGCACTAACATTCAAGTCAGGTCTTTTATCTAAATAAACCGAATGAAAATACTGAGCAAATTCTACCGCGCACTGCTCTGCCGAAAGTATCTCTCCGTTTTTTAATATTCTGTTTGGATTTCCATTACCTCTTTTTGATTTAATAAAACTCCAAAAAGATTTAGGGTTCTTTAACAATTGATGTTGCACTCGTTCACTATACTGTTGTTGCGCGTTATGAATCATCTTTTTTACATTAGCCCTACACAGAGCGAACGCCTCGTAATCAGACCTTGCCCCGCTTTTTTTAAAACGCTTGTGCAGAAATGCCTTATGTCGTATGTTGCGAATTATTTCAGCTGTGTAAAACTCGGGGTAACTGTACTTCGAGCTTACATGCCTTCGCTGTTTTTTTGGAACACAGTCATCTAATATTGCGTTAATACTTTGATAAAAATAGTCTAAACTACCTTCTAAATCTAAATTATAAATATTATTCCAATCTATATTTGCTATTGATGAGTATAATGATAAAAAATCTGCTTTGTTAAAATTCCAACCTTGAGATGGCCGCTCCTCTAATCCCATTTTCTCCTCTGACGTGGGCGATTCAGTACCCTCAAAAGATCGCAGCTCAACCAGCACCTCTAGAGGCGGATGGTGAGCATCCACACTTATCAGCGGTTCCTCTGCCGCGCGCACCCTCGCACTACCACCCCTCGCGAGTGACACTAACACCAAATCCAAACACCGACCGTTACAATTAACTATCTCATTGCACTGAGTGAATCCACAATAACTTTTAAAGTACTCAAAGTAATTACTTACTTCAACCGAACATGAATAAAAATTAAAGTCCCCTACAACTAAGACATTACAGTATTTACGACACAAATGTTCAATGATCTTAAATAACACCATATACTCTCTTTCACAACTACTAGGCGGAATGTATACTACACACAACAAAAATAAAAGTCTATTGTGCA